ATCGATCTCCCTCAAGCCGTCGTCAACGAGTCCAACCGTGCCACGCCAGTGCCACCAGCAGCTACTCAACCAAGTGGAGATGAAGTTCAGCCATCAAATGAAGACAATCCACCGCAGCAAGTCACCGTTCCATCACCACCAAAGGAGCAGCAGCCAACAGTCACAAACCAGCCAGCTATATCAACACCAACCTCACAATTTCAACGCCAACCGGATCAGCCCACCACTACGCCATCAAACCCATCACCAGCCATCACTCCAGAGGCAACTACAGAAGCTCATCATCATCCCATGCAGCAGCAATCAACAGCTACAAGACCCCAAGTACCTACATCAACACCATCTACGACTCTTCCTAGCAACAAATCAACCGTCACCGCAACACCTCGTTCTCATACCACACGTTCATCACTTGTTCCAACGTCAAGCCAGCTCATAGCACGAGGATCACTTCAGCGAGTCACCACCAACACCAGCTCCAACAGTCCACTTCTTCACCCAAGTCCTTTCTCAACTTCACCCCCACGTCCCGAATTCGGTCGTCATCAGTTACCACCATCTTCAACACCGAGCAACAACACCAACCAGCCCCAACCATCACCACCTCTCGACAAGGCAGCGTCATCATCAATTCCCAAGCTTCTAGTCTCAAGATCCCCACCAAGAGCATCTTCACAACCAACTATGCCGACAAACGTTTCAGCTTCACCGCCACGAGTCACCATACCTAATCCTCAAGTCAACACCGATAATCAAGATATTTCCACGCCAGGAGAAGAACAAGCAGCCGTGCCGCCGTCGCAGCCGATGTCGCAGCCGTTGTCTCAGCCGCAAATGACCGCATCAACGCAATCAAACACAGTGAGACCGAACCCTACCACTAATGTGTCTCAGCCAACTGAGGAGTTTGGTAAAGGTAAACGAGTCCGCAAGGTAAAAAAGCCCTTCAATTTCATGGTTGACATGACATCAAGGTGCACATGTGAGGAGAGTGAGAATTGCATTCACAAGAAGGTAGAGGCAATATGCATGGCAGCATCACACCTTCCGCGAGAGCCCTTGAGTCGTCGTGAGGCAATGGCAAGTCCCGAAAGAGAGCATTGGTTGAAAGCCGAGGAAGAGGAGATTGAGAGTCTCATGAAGCGAGGTACATGGCGTCTTGTTGAGCCACCTCCAGGGAAGAAGGTAATTGGTGTCAAATGGGTGTACAAGATCAAGGTAAAAGGTGATGGTAGCCTCGATAGGTACAAGGCAAGGTTAGTGGCAAAAGGTTATTCCCAAATTCCAGGTCTTGACTTCACCGAAACCTTTGCCGTGGTAGCAAAGTACACCACGGTACGAGTCCTCCTCGCCATAGCCGCATATCTTGGTCTCCATATCCATCAAATGGATGTCAAGAACGCATTTATCTACGGTGTCTTGGAAGAAGAGGTATACATGGCACAACCCGAAGGTTATGATGACGGTACGGGTCGAGTGTGTCGCTTGGTAAAGTCCCTTTATGGTCTCAAACAGTCCCCACGGGTTTGGTATCATGCTCTTGAGCAGGTACTTTTCAAGCATGGTTTCACAAGGTCCATGAGAGACAACGCTCTGTACTTCATGCACACGAGTGAGGGGGAGTACATTTGGCTCTTGGTATATGTCGATGACCTCCTCCTAGTCTCAGGTTCTCTTGATCTTCTCAACAAGGTGAAAGGTATTCTCACGAGTGCATTCACGATGACCGATCTTGGTGAGGCGAGTCATTATCTTGGTATGAACATTGTGAGAGATCGTAAGTCACGGTCCATCTTCCTATTCCAGCAAAGGTACATCCAAAAGGTCCTTGAGAGGTTTGGTCTTGATGATAGCAAGCCATCACCTACCCCACTTCCTTCCAAATTTGTCCCTTTGTCTTCACATCAGCCCTATGAAGAGAGAGAGTCAAGCCTTGATATCATAGGTATTAAAGAGTTGTGTCTTGAGGAGAGTGAGCATCATGGTGAGAATTCACTTAAGGTATCCCCACAAGACCTAGCTCTGTACCAAAGTCAGGTTGGGTGTCTCATGTATGCAGCCCTATGCACAAGGCCCGACTTAGCATTCACGGTATCTAAGCTAGCTCAACACATGAGTGCCCCTTCACCTATTCATATGCATGCAGCCAAGCGAGCTCTTCGGTATCTCAAAGGTACTTCTAATCATGGTCTTCTCTTCCAAGCCAGCCCATATGCAAGCTCCCTCCAAGGCTTTACCGATGCAGATTGGGCGGGAGAATTGAGCACACGCAAGTCTACCGGCGGCTACATCTTCCTCATGTGTGGTGCCGCTGTTTCTTGGCAATCGCGCAAGCAAAGTTGTGTGGCACTTTCAACAACCGAAGCTGAGTACATGGCAATGACCGAAGGAGCAAGGAAGGCAATCTGGTTACGTGGACTCTTGGAGGAATTGAGGCAGCCGCAAACTCAACCAACTCCGCTCTACGTGGACAACACTTCAGCCGTAGCTCTTTCCAAGAACCCGGTTCATCATGGGCGTACAAAACACATCGAGGTGCAGTACCACTTCATTCGTGAGCAACTAGAGAAGGGAGTTCTCGCCGTCAACTTTTGCCGTTCATTCGATCAAGCAGCAGATTTCATGACCAAGGTTCTTCCACATGATGCATTCAACATGTGCAAGGCAAGAGCAGGCCTCATGACACTTCATGAAGCAGTGGAGCAGTTTGAGGAGAATGAGGAGTGTGAGGGGAAGAGACGTGGGCAGCAGCATGAAGTGTATGCTAAGGAGATGTGAAAGGAGCATCAGCATGGGTGTATGTGTGCTTCGGGTCTGGTGCGAGGGGGAGTGTTGGAGAATCGAGTTTCTGCCGCCCCAGCCCTTTGCACACAAGCAGCAGCAAGGGGGAATGTCGGCGATGAATCAGAGCTTCGGAAAGTACTTCGAAAGTTCCACCACCAATCAGATTTCAGCCGAAGACTCGATATAGTTCAAAGCTGCCTTCAAACCGAAGTGTTGGCAGTTTCTACAGGTTTCTACACATCAGAATCAGCTATAACAGAAATATCCAGAGTTTTCTTATTCATGCACCTCATGTGGCACTCAAAGTCACTCAAGGTCCATCCAATCTAGATTGTGCCCAAGTTACCAGGGAAGTTACATTGTCTATCAGCCTAGTTTGAGCTTTCAATCTGTCTTGTTTGTGATGCCTAGAGTTGTGCTTTAGTGGGCTTGTTAATCTTGAACATAGTGAAGTTTTACCTCATCCAGTCAATTCCAGCAGCCCTGCTAAGACTTTCCAGCCAAGTTTCCAGCCCTCCAGTAGTCACAGCTACTCTGTTTTACAAGTAGCGGGGTGTCGTTTACCGTCGGCACCTCCGATTCGATGTACCCCTGCCTATGGGGCGCGCAATTGAGCAGGTAAATGCGTCATTTACCGTCGGCACCTTCCGCCCCTGCTCCCGAAGTTTCCCGATTTCGGTTGTAGCGGGGTGGGGGTGATTTCGACAGGGAAACTGCCCCGGAACCCTCGTCATTTACTCTCGCCCCCCCTCCTCCCCCCCAAGGCATGTGCCTGCAGAACAGAGCATATTCTAGTACCAGAAGGAAGTGAGGTACGGCAGTACATTTCGGACGTGAAGACAGAATCTAGAAGGGTGGGAAATTTTACCCTCCTCTTTAGGTTTGCGCGATTCGATGTACCCCTGCCTATGGGGCGCGAAATTGAGCAGGTAAATGCGTCATTTACCGTCGGCACCTTCCGCCCCTGCTCCCGAAGTTTCCCGATTTCGGTTGTAGCGGGGTGGGGGTGATTTCGACAGGGAAACTGCCCCGGAACCCTCGTCATTTACTCTCGCCCCTCCTCCTCCCCCCCAAGGCATGTGCCTGCAGAACAGAGCATATTCTAGTACCAGAAGGAAGTGAGGTACGGCAGTACATTTCGGACGTGAAGACAGAATCTAGAAGGGTGGGGCGTGAAGCAAACAGGGCGTGTTCAAATGAAGGAGGCAACTTCTCAAATTCCAAATCGTTTTTTTCGAGAGGGACATTTCCGCAGTGTCCAGCATGTCTACTCGAGTGCAAGTTCAACACCATCCCCCCGATAGTCCTGGTTTGTGAAGTGTGACACGGGGTGCAATTCATGCAGTGCCGATATCCATTCCGCTGCTCTGCAAACACTTCCTTCAAAGGTTCTGCACTTAGTGACGATTCATATTCCGGAGGCGCAGGTGCTCCGTGTGTGTGTGATCCCATGCTGCGACAATGCTGTTGAGGAGCTGCCGGTTGATCTTCTCGCGAAACTCGTGATCCCCGTTCTTTTCGTCTTCTCCGCATGTAACAGCGTGACACAGTCTTTACATCGAATCGTCAAACGCGACTGTTACACATAAATCCACAGTCGTCAAACGCGATGTTACACATAAATCCAGTCATTCATCTTCTTAGTACAGGGTATGAATTAGTTACTTCGCGAGAAAGCCACGTCATTGCACGCGAATCCGCAGGTTGGTCCAGGTTTACTGACGAATCGCCAATTAGGTTAGGACTCAGGACAGGCATTAGACGTGCCGTTTGTAGATCCGTCGTGTCGCATATACTTGCTGTCTCAGGTCGGCATTCAGGACACGCGCACGTATTTTGGCAAGCCTTTTGCACAACATGCTGATGACGTAAAGCAGCACAAACTAAGCGAATTCGGGAACGCCCTGTAGGCGCCTCTAAAATCACTAGCTGGTGACGTAACAGCCGCCGTCGCTCGCTCACTCGTGCAGCACAGGTTTCCGAAATTTCCGGAAGGAGGAGCACCGCTGGATTAGCCGTCATGCTGCACTGGATTCGAAACGAGGACCCACCCGTTTTATTAGTGGCATTCTGGAATCATTCTGAACTAGCCTTCCACCTGTCTCCATCCTATGATCCCAGCATACAGAAACCATTCCAGTCTGTCGTAAAAACTCACGGTACCAGCGTTAGGTGTCTTTGAACCCTCCCAGCGGTTACATATTTTCCGAGATTCCATGCCCGACGCGCGGCCAGCTTCCGACGTCAGGCGGCGCCGGTCAGCGCATCGCGGGTACGTGATTAACGGCTAGTTTCAGCACTCTTTGTCTCAAATCGGATCGGCTTATGGTGTAAATGGGAGTTCACCCTCACCTCCGCCGTCTCTGCTCCTGCTCCCCTCCCCCCTCCCCCCCCCCCCCCCCTCCCCCTCCCCCCGCTCTCCTCCCCAGTCGACCATATGCAGACGAAAAGGATCGACCATATCCATTTGTCCTCTTCCACCATCCCACCCCCCCCCCCCCCCCCCCCCCCCCTCCCCCCTCCGTCCCTTCCACTTTTCCCCATTTCATCCCTGCTTGGATCCTCCCCATTGGCAGAAGGAATTGGCCGAGTGTCTTGCTCGGGATGGATTTGCATCAGTGGCAGACGCCGTGGGGGCGGATCACAGGGAGGCAAGCAAAGGATTGTAGAATAAGAATCAAACATTGTACTGTAGTATCACCAGGGGTTCAGTAGAATGTACCCTTTCAAGTGCGTGCAGTAAACGCGATATCTAGAAGAGATTCCTGTGGTTAGCTTTAACTATTGAAAGAAGTGTTGTCATCTATTGAGCATTATGTAGTTCACTAATGCCTCTTCTGCAATGACGACTATTGCCCACCCGCTCTTGCCCACATCATTTTTTCTTAAAGTGCCCCAATTTTGAAGTATCCGATGCCCAATATTTTCCTTTTTAGTCCCCCACACCCACACTCACTCACTCTCGCCACCGTTTCTCGTCTCTCCCCCAACTTCCTCGCAGACCCCATTCCGTCTCCACCCAGTCCTCTCTGGCACCACTGCCACCTGCAGCTTCTGCTGCTACTGCTGCTGGCAGCAGTGCTGGCAGCAGCATCAGTGGAGGGGCTGCAACAGTAAGGGGTGGAGCTATAGGTGTTGGGGCAGGGGGGGTTGGCACAGCGGCAGTAGGAAGCGAGTCTCAGCAGGCCCATCAATCCCACCAAGCACAGCAGCGAGGAGGTGCAGAGAATGCGGGCGGCAAAGCGGGCGGCGGTGCAGAGAGCCAGGCAGATGGGCGCCACAGGCCACTTCAAGCCCTGCGACTCCATGTTCGGGAACTCCCTCGTTCCTGTTGTTCCGTTCCAGCAACCTTAGCAGCCTTCCTAGCCTGTGCAGCAACATGTGCCCTACCACTAGCACAATCAAGAGCACGGTATTGCACATGGTTCTAGCCTTTTGAAGGTAATTAGTTGTATGGTGTTCCAGGTGCATGGAAAATGAAACCACGGTTACAGCATTGTGCATTTGTTTATTACAACATTCTCTGGTGTCTAAGCATTATTTCAATGTACACTACTACGGTATCCCTCATTTACCGAATATTATTGTAATCGCGTCGGTTGCGCAAGATTTGTTGGCAGCAGTTTCGGGATTTTCAGAGGGCAGGTCCAGCACAGGTCCAGGTGTCCCCACCTTCGCGGACATATTGGAGGTATCTCCATTACGATTCGTCAAAATGTCGGTCGATTTTTTCGCCTGCTGCCATGCTTTCCGCTGTATCCAATCACCTCTGTTGAAATGGCGTGCGCCTCGGGACTTTCGCACAGCTGTCCTGAGAAAAATAGGGCCACTTCGCTGGGCCCTCGGATACCTCACCTGGTTGCTAGAACACGGGCTCGAGCAGGAACGACTGGAGAAATCGAGGGCGGTGGTGGAGAAATCAAGAAATCTAAGGTTGGAGGAAACTACAAGGATAGCGTGCTTGTGCTCGTTTGTTATCGTCGGCCTTACGGCGAAGGACTTGCTTCTCTTTCTTCTCCTTCCTATCACCCTCCACGGCGGCGTGGCATCGTTTGTTGCTCGTGATCGACCTCCGCTCTCATCAGATCGAGGTCGCTTTCGTGCGATCGCCGCATTTTGAAGCACCCCATAGTGTACATTGTAAACCACGTCCGTAAACGTTCCTCGGAATCACACCTCCTCTCACTCATTACCGCGGCTCGTTCGCACGAACATATCGTCGTTTCTGCTCTCTGATCCACCTCGTCATAAGAGTACCCGTTAGGACCGAACCGCGCCGAACCGACACAATGAGTCGACAAGTCGCAAGAGCCCTGCTGGGCAGAGCAGAGCCTCTCCTGCAGCGCCACGTGGCGTGCAACGGAGGAGGCAGCAGCCACGCACTAACTAGTTACATTGGTAACGGTCACCGCCACGCGTGCGGCCGCGTCAAGCCCCCAGTGCTGCCCATCAGTGTCAACCCGATGCTCTCGCCATCGTACGGCGCTCGGCGCTTCTCCTCCTCCGCCTCCGCCGAATCCGCTCCGAAGCAGAAGCCTGATCTGGTCAGTATGTGATCTTGATCCACTCGGGCAGGATACGTTTCCCTTTCGCACAACTTTCGGGGTTACAGCCTTACAGGCATTCCCTTTCGCGTAAGTGCCCATGCTGCAACCTCCCGTTTCTTTTCTAGGCAATGCAATGCCGTCCTCGTCCGCAGTGCTCTCACTGCCCCTCCTTTCATTGCCGTACCCGCCATTCGTCCTCCTTTCCTGTTTCTAACTTTCCTTCCGGGATCACATGTTTTCTCTTCCCCGCAGCTGCGCATTCTCGCCGCGTGCGCGCTCGGATCGGGTGCCGCCGCGGGCATTGCGGTATCCATCATGGATCCCAAGACCTTCAGGTGCGACTCGTGGGTTTGTTATATCAATGAGAATTCTCAAAGGTCGCCGTGACCACCATGGATCCCAAGTCATTCAGGTGCGACTCGATCAACGTCGTAAACAGGTTACACCCCTACTTTTATGACTTTCAGCGGGTACCATTTATCGCCACGGCTGCAAAACGTTCGGAGCTGAAACATTGTTGTTACCATCTCCTTCAAAGTGTGCTGCCATGCATCTCGCGCTGCAGCTCGCTCTCCTTCGCGGCCATGCCCCTTCCCCCCATGCCCCTTCCCCCATGCCCCTTCCCCCATGCCCCTTCCCCCATGCCCCTTCCCCCCATGCCCCTTCCCCCATGCCCCTTCCCCCATGCCCCTTCCCCCATGCCCCTTCCCCCCATGCCCCTTCCCCCCATGCCCCTTCCCCCATGCCCCTTCCCCCCATGCCCCTTCCCCCATGCCCCTTTCCCCCATGCCCCTCCCCCACATGCCCCTTCCCCCCATGCCCCTTCCCCCCATGCCCCTTCCCCCATGCCCCTTCCCCCCATGCCCCTTCCCCCCATGCCCCTTCCCCCATGCCCCTTCCCCCCATGCCCCTTCCCCCCATGCCCCTTCCCCCCATGCCCCTTCCCCCCATGCCCCTTCCCCCATACCCACCCCAGCTCGCTCTCCTTCGCGGCCACGGACTACATGACGCCATTCATCCGCCATTCTCCATCTCCCCCGTGTTTCCTCCCCCCCGCAATGCCCCTCCCCTCATGGCCCCCGCAGCGCGCTCTCCTTCGCAGCCACGGACTACATGACGCCCTTCATCCGCCTGCTGGACCTTGTGTAAAGACTCTCTTCTCTCCCCTCCCCCCATGCCCCTTTCTCAAATGCCTCACTCTCCCCCTACAATCACCCCAGCGCGCTCTCCTTCGCGGCCACGGACTACATGACGCCCTTCATCCGTCTGCTCGACCCCGAGACGTCCCACCAGCTGGCCGTGCTGTCGGGCGAGTGGGGCCTCACTCCGCGCGACTACCGCCCCGACCCGCCCTCCCTCGCCACCACGGTGTGGGGGCGGCGCTTCAGCAACCCCGTGGGCATGGCGGCGGGGTTTGACAAGGATGCGCACTGTGTGGACTCCATGTTCGCCCTGGGGCTCGGGTTCACGGAGATTGGCAGCGTCACGCCCCTTCCTCAACCGGGCAACCCTAAGCCCAGATGCTTTCGGCTGACAGAGCAGAAGTGAGTGGCTTAAATCCTGAAACCCTGAACCCTGAAGCCGAACACCCCCTGCCTGCCCCGGCGCGCCCTCCCTCGCCACCACTGTGTGGGGGCGGCGCTTCAGCAACCCTGTGGGCATGGCGGCGGGGTTTGACAAGGATGCGCGCTGCGTTGATTCCATGTTCGCCCTCGGCCTGGGGTTTACCCAGATCGGCAGCGTCACGCCACTGCCCCAACCCGGCAACCCCAAGCCTAGATGCTTCCGCCTTACAGAGCAGAAGTCAGAGTCCTAAACCCAAACCCTAAACCCAAACGCTAGAGGGCTTTGACAAGGACGCGCGCTGTGTGGACTCCATATTTGCCCTGGGCCTGGGATTTACTGAGATCGGGAGTGTGACGCCGCTTCCCCAAGCCCAGATGCTTTCGGCTGACAGAGCAGCAGTGAGTGCCTAAACCCGCCTGAAACCCTCAACTTCCAACCCTAGAGGGCTTTGACAAGGATGCGCGCTGCATTGACTCCATGTTCGCCCTGGCCTCGGGTTTACCTACATAGGGAGCGTCATGCCGCTTCCTCAACCCGGCAAACCTAAACCTCGCTGCTTCTGGCTCACAGAACAGAAGTGAGTGCCTAAAACCGCCTTAAACCTTAAACCCTTGAAAGGTCTGACAAGGATGCGCGCTGAGTGGACTCCATGTTCGACCTGGGGCTGGGGTTCACCGAGATCGGCAGCATCACGCCGCTTCCCCATCCCGGCAACCCCAAGCCCTGATGCTTCCGCCTGACTTCAATTAAAGACTTTAGAACCCTGAACCCCAAACCCTGAAGGGACTTGACAAGTATTAGGGCGTGTAACCCATTTGCCCCCGACGGTTCGAACCGTGGACCGTCCGGTCGACGAAACGGTTACTTAGTTCGCATTTTCTCGTTTAGATGTTCGTGAATGCTTGTGCGACGTCGCCAGCAGTTCGAACTGTGGTGACACTTTTCCCTTCTTTCAACGGTTCAGAATGTGAACCGCGGACAGTCCTAAACTAAAACGGACAGTCCGCCACAACTGGCTAGAGATTGGCGTGCGATTCTCAATTTACAGTACCTTTACTGATTGGCGGACGAAATAAGCTTACGAGGCATCGCGAATTAGGTTACGGGAGTACTGTGCATCGTGCGAGGCTACAGTGATCGCGAATGCCTCCAACATGAAAAAGTGTCACAAAACCATCCGGACGGTGCCAAGGTTCCGAACTGTCAAGTCGGAAGGTCCAGTTCCAGTTAGTAGGACTGTCCGTTTGCCAAATATACGGACAGTCCGCCAAAACCCAAAAATCCAAAATGGTTACACGCCCTTATCTGTCGGTGTGTTGGCTCCATGCTGGCTCTGGAAACCCGAAGACCTGTTGCCGCCCATCACAGAACAGAAGCGTGTGTACCGTTGAATCCCTGAGCACAGACGGGCTTGTCTTAAAGCGCGAAACCCAAAACCCTGAAACCTGAAACTGCTGGGGTGGGGAGAAGGTCGGGACTTGGGAAGGCGGGTTTTCTCCCTTGTCTCGATGTTCCACGTGTCCTCCCATGCTCCATCTGCCCCATCCAGTTCCCCAGACCCTTAGCCAGGTAACCAAATCCGCTCTCCCATGCTCCCACTCCCCCCATCACCTCAACCCTTTCAGGGCTGTAATCAACCGCTACGGCTTCAACAGCGCGGGCATTGCTGACGTGGCGGAGAGGCTCGGCGCGTGGCAGGCTCGGCGGCAGCAGCGGGCAGCGGGCGGGCAGGCGGCAAAAAAAGAGAACGTGGTGGAGGAGAGAGTGCGGGAGGGAGTACTAGCGGTGAATCTGGGGAAGAACAAGACGAGTGAGGATGCAGCGGGGGACTATGTGAAGGGCGTGCATGCTCTGGGGCAGTTTGCAGACGTGCTGGTGGTCAATGTGTCTTCCCCCAACACGCCCGGGCTGAGGAAGCTGCAGGGCCGGTCGCAGCTGCAGGAACTGCTGCAGCGGGTGAGTGGGTTGGGAAGGCGAAAGGCAAGGGGGGAGTGGGCGGGGTGGGTGGGAGTGGGGCGGGAGAGAGTGGGGGTTGATTGAGTGGGGGGTGAGTGATTTGGGAACGAGGGAATGAGTGGAGGGAATGGGTTGAATGGGCTGCCAGTTGTGCTTCCCTACTGGGGAAACACCTCTTTGCGCAAATCACATCATCTTTGCGCATGAGCCTTCCATCATCTTTTCCAGCTCTTTGCTACTCAAGTTGCTGATGAATCACCTCCCGTCACTCTCTGTGTCTGTCAGGTGCAAGCAGCGCGGAACGAGATGGAGTGGGGCAAGGAGGGCCCGCCCCCTCTGCTGCTCAAGATAGCCCCTGATCTCACCACTGAAGACATGTCGGATATCGCTGCCGTTTAGGTGGACACTAAAGTCACCTCCCTGCCCTCACCACTCTCTGTCCCTGGCAGGTGCAAGCAGCACGGAACGAGATGGAGTGGGGCAAGGAGGGCCCACCCCCTCTGCTGCTCAAGATAGCCCCTGACCTCACCACCGAAGACATGTCGGATATTGCTGCTGTCGCTCTCTCCCTCAAGATTGACGGACTGGTACGTTAATGCGTGAGCTTATAGTGGGGATGGAGTGTGTTGTGAGAGTCTTTCCTGACATTAGCCCCTGACCTGACCAGAGAGAACATGTTGCATATTCCTGCCGTCACCCTCTTTCCCAAGATTGACGGACTGGTGTGCTAGCGAGTGAGCTTATAACGAGCATGGAGTGCCCGGTAAGTGGTGTTTCTATCAAAAGAGAAAGATTCTCGTGGTTGACTTCCACCTTGTGGTCCCACGATTGACTTTTGAGTTGACTCAAGAAAAGAATGAATGTAGGCCGTGCAGGAGGCCTCCCTGTTCCTTTCGCCACCCTCCCCGTTCCCCCCACCAACACCCATCCTCCTGCCCTTACCATGTGAGGAGCAGGTAAGGGCAGGAGGATCGTGGGCCCACCAACACCCTCCAACACCCACCAACACCCACCAACACCCTCCAACACCCTCCAACACCCATCAACACCCTCCAACGCCCACCAACACCTTCCAACACCCACCGACACCCTCCACCATTTCACGCCCTGGCAGCATCGTGGGCCTTGTGAACGCGGAGACCTTCTCCAATATCTGCACCCCAACCCCTCCCCACCGCCCTCCATACCTCTCCACCCACACCAGGTGGTGAGCAACACCACCATCTCCCGCCCTGACAGCATCCTGGGCCTGGTGAACGCGGACGAGATGCAAGGGCTCAGCGGCAAGCCCCTCTCTTTGGAGGGGTGGCAATACCTACATCCTCACGCACCCCACTCCACCCCATTCCACCCACCCACACCAGGTGGTGAGCAACACCACCATTTCCCGTCCCGACAGCATCCTGGGTCTGGTGAACGCGGACGAGGTGGGGGGGCTCAGCGGCAAGCCCCTCTTTGAGCTCTCCACTGCTGTGCTGCGCCAGATGTACTCGCTTACCAAGGTGCGTGCGTTGCTTCATATGAATCTGAAGACGAGGTGTACTCGCTTGGTAAAAAAGTGAGTTGCTTCAAAAGTGAGCTCTTCACTGCCGTGCTGCGCCAGATCTACTCGCTTATTAAGGTGAAATTTCTTTTTTCAGAGGTGGACGTTTGCACGCCTGTGTAGACAAGTACATGCCTTCATGTATTTCCGTCTTCCGTTTTTCATTTCATTTTCTGGGAAACGCTTGTGCATTTGCGTTCCTCAACCTCTAGAACTTCCCCTTTCCATCACATCTGAACAAATCCCCATCATCTCTCACAGTATATCCCTCTATTTCTGCCTCTCTCTCTTGTCATCTCCTCCCTCTCCCCCCTCAGGGTCAGATCCCCATCATTGGCTGTGGTGGCATCTACAGGTACTCGCTCCCTTCTTCCTTGTCCTAGTCCTACCATTCTCCCTCCCACACTCCTACTCTCCCCCCTCTCCAACAAACTCCATTCCCTCTCGTTTCATCCACTCTCCTTTCACTCAACCCACCTGCTTCCCATCCCTCTCCCGCTTCTCTCGTCTCGCTCAAGTTACACACATGCCCCATAAGCACTTCGCCTCTCTCTCCTGCCTGAGTCAACTCTCATACTCCTCATCTCATCTCTTCTCATCTCATCTCATAAGCTCCTCATCTCATCTCTTCTCCATTCTCTCAACCCACACGAGGTGCCTCAGTCATTCTTGCGTTGCCTTCATCCTTTGAGCATGTCTATTCCACATGGGATTCTTTATATCGCTTTTCCTTCCGCCTCATTTTTCCGCTGCGTCCCTGGTACAGTGGTGAGGATGCTTATCAGAAGATCCGAGCAGGGGCGTCATTAGTGCAGCTGTATACCTCTATGGTCTTTGAGGGGGCTGGAGTGGTGCCGAAAATCAAGGTAAGTCAAACCAAGTCAAGGCGAGTCAAGCTGATTTACTGAGTCAACCCAGGCTGTGCTGGGCTCAACAGGTAGGTTTGTGATTGTGAAGCTCTCAGATTTTGGCTCGCAAGCTTCCGAGAACGGGTGAAGTGAAGTGAGCACTGCTCGTTTCACCCATCACTTCTTACTGCTGTTTGTTATGTTTTTTCTTTTCACATCTTTGCTTCCCCATTCTCTCCCTCCATTTGTCCTCTTCCACCATCCCACCCCCCCCCCCCCCCCCCCCCCCCCCCTCCCCCCTCCGTCCCTTCCACTTTTCCCCATTTCATCCCTGCTTGGATCCTCCCCATTGGCAGAAGGAATTGGCCGAGTGTCTTGCTCGGGATGGATTTGCATCAGTGGCAGACGCCGTGGGGGCGGATCACAGGGAGGCAAGCAAAGGATTGTAGAATAAGAATCAAACATTGTACTGTAGTATCACCAGGGGTTCAGTAGAATGTACCCTTTCAAGTGCGTGCAGTAAACGCGATATCTAGAAGAGATTCCTGTGGTTAGCTTTAACTATTGAAAGAAGTGTTGTCATCTATTGAGCATTATGTAGTTCACTAATGCCTCTTCTGCAATGACGACTATTGCCCACCCGCTCTTGCCCACATCATTTTTTCTTAAAGTGCCCCAATTTTGAAGTATCCGATGCCCAATATTTTCCTTTTTAGTCCCCCACACCCACACTCACTCACTCTCGCCACCGTTTCTCGTCTCTCCCCCAACTTCCTCGCAGACCCCATTCCGTCTCCACCCAGTCCTCTCTGGCACCACTGCCACCTGCAGCTTCTGCTGCTACTGCTGCTGGCAGCAGTGCTGGCAGCAGCATCAGTGGAGGGGCTGCAACAGTAAGGGGTGGAGCTATAGGTGTTGGGGCAGGGGGGGTTGGCACAGCGGCAGTAGGAAGCGAGTCTCAGCAGGCCCATCAATCCCACCAAGCACAGCAGCGAGGAGGTGCAGAGAATGCGGGCGGCAAAGCGGGCGGCGGTGCAGAGAGCCAGGCAGATGGGCGCCACAGGCCACTTCAAGCCCTGCGACTCCATGTTCGGGAACTCCCTCGTTCCTGTTGTTCCGTTCCAGCAACCTTAGCAGCCTTCCTAGCCTGTGCAGCAACATGTGCCCTACCACTAGCACAATCAAGAGCACGGTATTGCACATGGTTCTAGCCTTTTGAAGGTAATTAGTTGTATGGTGTTCCAGGTGCATGGAAAATGAAACCACGGTTACAGCATTGTGCATTTGTTTATTACAACATTCTCTGGTGTCTAAGCATTATTTCAATGTACACTACTACGGTATCCCTCATTTACCGAATATTATTGTAATCGCGTCGGTTGCGCAAGATTTGTTGGCAGCAGTTTCGGGATTTTCAGAGGGCAGGTCCAGCACAGGTCCAGGTGTCCCCACCTTCGCGGACATATTGGAGGTATCTCCATTACGATTCGTCAAAATGTCGGTCGATTTTTTCGCCTGCTGCCATGCTTTCCGCTGTATCCAATCACCTCTGTTGAAATGGCGTGCGCCTCGGGACTTTCGCACAGCTGTCCTGAGAAAAATAGGGCCACTTCGCTGGGCCCTCGGATACCTCACCTGGTTGCTAGAACACGGGCTCGAGCAGGAACGACTGGAGAAATCGAGGGCGGTGGTGGAGAAATCAAGAAATCTAAGGTTGGAGGAAACTACAAGGATAGCGTGCTTGTGCTCGTTTGTTATCGTCGGCCTTACGGCGAAGGACTTGCTTCTCTTTCTTCTCCTTCCTATCACCCTCCACGGCGGCGTGGCATCGTTTGTTGCTCGTGATCGACCTCCGCTCTCATCAGATCGAGGTCGCTTTCGTGCGATCGCCGCATTTTGAAGCACCCCATAGTGTACATTGTAAACCACGTCCGTAAACGTTCCTCGGAATCACACCTCCTCTCACTCATTACCGCGGCTCGTTCGCACGAACATATCGTCGTTTCTGCTCTCTGATCCACCTCGTCATAAGAGTACCCGTTAGGACCGAACCGCGCCGAACCGACACAATGAGTCGACAAGTCGCAAGAGCCCTGCTGGGCAGAGCAGAGCCTCTCCTGCAGCGCCACGTGGCGTGCAACGGAGGAGGCAGCAGCCACGCACTAACTAGTTACATTGGTAACGGTCACCGCCACGCGTGCGGCCGCGTCAAGCCCCCAGTGCTGCCCATCAGTGTCAACCCGATGCTCTCGCCATCGTACGGCGCTCGGCGCTTCTCCTCCTCCGCCTCCGCCGAATCCGCTCCGAAGCAGAAGCCTGATCTGGTCAGTATGTGATCTTGATCCACTCGGGCAGGATACGTTTCCCTTTCGCACAACTTTCGGGGTTACAGCCTTACAGGCATTCCCTTTCGCGTAAGTGCCCATGCTGCAACCTCCCGTTTCTTTTCTAGGCAATGCAATGCCGTCCTCGTCCGCAGTGCTCTCACTGCCCCTCCTTTCATTGCCGTACCCGCCATTCGTCCTCCTTTCCTGTTTCTAACTTTCCTTCCGGGATCACATGTTTTCTCTTCCCCGCAGCTGCGCATTCTCGCCGCGTGCGCGCTCGGATCGGGTGCCGCCGCGGGCATTGCGGTATCCATCATGGATCCCAAGACCTTCAGGTGCGACTCGTGGGTTTGTTATATCAATGAGAATTCTCAAAGGTCGCCGTGACCACCATGGATCCCAAGTCATTCAGGTGCGACTCGATCAACGTCGTAAACAGGTTACACCCCTACTTTTATGACTTTCAGCGGGTACCATTTATCGCCACGGCTGCAAAACGTTCGGAGCTGAAACATTGTTGTTACCATCTCCTTCAAAGTGTGCTGCCATGCATCTCGCGCTGCAGCTCGCTCTCCTTCGCGGCCATGCCCCTTCCCCCCATGCCCCTTCCCCCATGCCCCTTCCCCCATGCCCCTTCCCCCATGCCCCTTCCCCCCATGCCCCTTCCCCCATGCCCCTTCCCCCATGCCCCTTCCCCCATGCCCCTTCCCCCCATGCCCCTTCCCCCCATGCCCCTTCCCCCATGCCCCTTCCCCCCATGCCCCTTCCCCCATGCCCCTTTCCCCCATGCCCCTCCCCCACATGCCCCTTCCCCCCATGCCCCTTCCCCCCATGCCCCTTCCCCCATGCCCCTTCCCCCCATGCCCCTTCCCCCCATGCCCCTTCCCCCATGCCCCTTCCCCCCATGCCCCTTCCCCCCATGCCCCTTCCCCCCATGCCCCTTCCCCCCATGCCCCTTCCCCCATACCCACCCCAGCTCGCTCTCCTTCGCGGCCACGGACTACATGACGCCATTCATCCGCCATTCTCCATCTCCCCCGTGTTTCCTCCCCCCCGCAATGCCCCTCCCCTCATGGCCCCCGCAGCGCGCTCTCCTTCGCAGCCACGGACTACATGACGCCCTTCATCCGCCTGCTGGACCTTGTGTAAAGACTCTCTTCTCTCCCCTCCCCCCATGCCCCTTTCTCAAATGCCTCACTCTCCCCCTACAATCACCCCAGCGCGCTCTCCTTCGCGGCCACGGACTACATGACGCCCTTCATCCGTCTGCTCGACCCCGAGACGTCCCACCAGCTGGCCGTGCTGTCGGGCGAGTGGGGCCTCACTCCGCGCGACTACCGCCCCGACCCGCCCTCCCTCGCCACCACGGTGTGGGGGCGGCGCTTCAGCAACCCCGTGGGCATGGCGGCGGGGTTTGACAAGGATGCGCACTGTGTGGACTCCATGTTCGCCCTGGGGCTCGGGTTCACGGAGATTGGCAGCGTCACGCCCCTTCCTCAACCGGGCAACCCTAAGCCCAGATGCTTTCGGCTGACAGAGCAGAAGTGAGTGGCTTAAATCCTGAAACCCTGAACCCTGAAGCCGAACACCCCCTGCCTGCCCCGGCGCGCCCTCCCTCGCCACCACTGTGTGGGGGCGGCGCTTCAGCAACCCTGTGGGCATGGCGGCGGGGTTTGACAAGGATGCGCGCTGCGTTGATTCCATGTTCGCCCTCGGCCTGGGGTTTACCCAGATCGGCAGCGTCACGCCACTGCCCCAACCCGGCAACCCCAAGCCTAGATGCTTCCGCCTTACAGAGCAGAAGTCAGAGTCCTAAACCCAAACCCTAAACCCAAACGCTAGAGGGCTTTGACAAGGACGCGCGCTGTGTGGACTCCATATTTGCCCTGGGCCTGGGATTTACTGAGATCGGGAGTGTGACGCCGCTTCCCCAAGCCCAGATGCTTTCGGCTGACAGAGCAGCAGTGAGTGCCTAAACCCGCCTGAAACCCTCAACTTCCAACCCTAGAGGGCTTTGACAAGGATGCGCGCTGCATTGACTCCATGTTCGCCCTGGCCTCGGGTTTACCTACATAGGGAGCGTCATGCCGCTTCCTCAACCCGGCAAACCTAAACCTCGCTGCTTCTGGCTCACAGAACAGAAGTGAGTGCCTAAAACCGCCTTAAACCTTAAACCCTTGAAAGGTCTGACAAGGATGCGCGCTGAGTGGACTCCATGTTCGACCTGGGGCTGGGGTTCACCGAGATCGGCAGCATCACGCCGCTTCCCCATCCCGGCAACCCCAAGCCCTGATGCTTCCGCCTGACTTCAATTAAAGACTTTAGAACCCTGAACCCCAAACCCTGAAGGGACTTGACAAGTATTAGGGCGTGTAACCCATTTGCCCCCGACGGTTCGAACCGTGGACCGTCCGGTCGACGAAACGGTTACTTAGTTCGCATTTTCTCGTTTAGATGTTCGTGAATGCTTGTGCGACGTCGCCAGCAGTTCGAACTGTGGTGACACTTTTCCCTTCTTTCAACGGTTCAGAATGTGAACCGCGGACAGTCCTAAACTAAAACGGACAGTCCGCCACAACTGGCTAGAGATTGGCGTGCGATTCTCAATTTACAGTACCTTTACTGATTGGCGGACGAAATAAGCTTACGAGGCATCGCGAATTAGGTTACGGGAGTACTGTGCATCGTGCGAGGCTACAGTGATCGCGAATGCCTCCAACATGAAAAAGTGTCACAAAACCATCCGGACGGTGCCAAGGTTCCGAACTGTCAAGTCGGAAGGTCCAGTTCCAGTTAGTAGGACTGTCCGTTTGCCAAATATACGGACAGTCCGCCAAAACCCAAAAATCCAAAATGGTTACACGCCCTTATCTGTCGGTGTGTTGGCTCCATGCTGGCTCTGGAAACCCGAAGACCTGTTGCCGCCCATCACAGAACAGAAGCGTGTGTACCGTTGAATCCCTGAGCACAGACGGGCTTGTCTTAAAGCGCGAAACCCAAAACCCTGAAACCTGAAACTGCTGGGGTGGGGAGAAGGTCGGGACTTGGGAAGGCGGGTTTTCTCCCTTGTCTCGATGTTCCACGTGTCCTCCCATGCTCCATCTGCCCCATCCAGTTCCCCAGACCCTTAGCCAGGTAACCAAATCCGCTCTCCCATGCTCCCACTCCCCCCATCACCTCAACCCTTTCAGGGCTGTAATCAACCGCTACGGCTTCAACAGCGCGGGCATTGCTGACGTGGCGGAGAGGCTCGGCGCGTGGCAGGCTCGGCGGCAGCAGCGGGCAGCGGGCGGGCAGGCGGCAAAAAAAGAGAACGTGGTGGAGGAGAGAGTGCGGGAGGGAGTACTAGCGGTGAATCTGGGGAAGAACAAGACGAGTGAGGATGCAGCGGGGGACTATGTGAAGGGCGTGCATGCTCTGGGGCAGTTTGCAGACGTGCTGGTGGTCAATGTGTCTTCCCCCAACACGCCCGGGCTGAGGAAGCTGCAGGGCCGGTCGCAGCTGCAGGAACTGCTGCAGCGGGTGAGTGGGTTGGGAAGGCGAAAGGCAAGGGGGGAGTGGGCGGGGTGGGTGGGAGTGGGGCGGGAGAGAGTGGGGGTTGATTGAGTGGGGGGTGAGTGATTTGGGAACGAGGGAATGAGTGGAGGGAATGGGTTGAATGGGCTGCCAGTTGTGCTTCCCTACTGGGGAAACACCTCTTTGCGCAAATCACATCATCTTTGCGCATGAGCCTTCCATCATCTTTTCCAGCTCTTTGCTACTCAAGTTGCTGATGAATCACCTCCCGTCACTCTCTGTGTCTGTCTGGTGCAAGCAGCGCGGAACGAGATGGAGTGGGGCAAGGAGGGCCCGCCCCCTCTGCTGCTCAAGATAGCCCCTGATCTCACCACTGAAGACATGTCGGATATCGCTGCCGTTTAGGTGGACACTAAAGTCACCTCCCTGCCCTCACCACTCTCTGTCCCTGGCAGGTGCAAGCAGCACGGAACGAGATGGAGTGGGGCAAGGAGGGCCCACCCCCTCTGCTGCTCAAGATAGCCCCTGACCTCACCACCGAAGACATGTCGGATATTGCTGCTGTCGCTCTCTCCCTCAAGATTGACGGACTGGTACGTTAATGCGTGAGCTTATAGTGGGGATGGAGTGTGTTGTGAGAGTCTTTCCTGACATTAGCCCCTGACCTGACCAGAGAGAACATGTTGCATATTCCTGCCGTCACCCTCTTTCCCAAGATTGACGGACTGGTGTGCTAGCGAGTGAGCTTATAACGAGCATGGAGTGCCCGGTAAGTGGTGTTTCTATCAAAAGAGAAAGATTCTCGTGGTTGACTTCCACCTTGTGGTCCCACGATTGACTTTTGAGTTGACTCAAGAAAAGAATGAATGTAGGCCGTGCAGGAGGCCTCCCTGTTCCTTTCGCCACCCTCCCCGTTCCCCCCACCAACACCCATCCTCCTGCCCTTACCATGTGAGGAGCAGGTAAGGGCAGGAGGATCGTGGGCCCACCAACACCCTCCAACACCCACCAACACCCACCAACACCCTCCAACACCCTCCAACACCCATCAACACCCTCCAACGCCCACCAACACCTTCCAACACCCACCGACACCCTCCACCATTTCACGCCCTGGCAGCATCGTGGGCCTTGTGAACGCGGAGACCTTCTCCAATATCTGCACCCCAACCCCTCCCCACCGCCCTCCATACCTCTCCACCCACACCAGGTGGTGAGCAACACCACCATCTCCCGCCCTGACAGCATCCTGGGCCTGGTGAACGCGGACGAGATGCAAGGGCTCAGCGGCAAGCCCCTCTCTTTGGAGGGGTGGCAATACCTACATCCTCACGCACCCCACTCCACCCCATTCCACCCACCCACACCAGGTGGTGAGCAACACCACCATTTCCCGTCCCGACAGCATCCTGGGTCTGGTGAACGCGGACGAGGTGGGGGGGCTCAGCGGCAAGCCCCTCTTTGAGCTCTCCACTGCTGTGCTGCGCCAGATGTACTCGCTTACCAAGGTGCGTGCGTTGCTTCATATGAATCTGAAGACGAGGTGTACTCGCTTGGTAAAAAAGTGAGTTGCTTCAAAAGTGAGCTCTTCACTGCCGTGCTGCGCCAGATCTACTCGCTTATTAAGGTGAAATTTCTTTTTTCAGAGGTGGACGTTTGCACGCCTGTGTAGACAAGTACATGCCTTCATGTATTTCCGTCTTCCGTTTTTCATTTCATTTTCTGGGAAACGCTTGTGCATTTGCGTTCCTCAACCTCTAGAACTTCCCCTTTCCATCACATCTGAACAAATCCCCATCATCTCTCACAGTATATCCCTCTATTTCTGCCTCTCTCTCTTGTCATCTCCTCCCTCTCCCCCCTCAGGGTCAGATCCCCATCATTGGCTGTGGTGGCATCTACAGGTACTCGCTCCCTTCTTCCTTGTCCTAGTCCTACCATTCTCCCTCCCACACTCCTACTCTCCCCCCTCTCCAACAAACTCCATTCCCTCTCGTTTCATCCACTCTCCTTTCACTCAACCCACCTGCTTCCCATCCCTCTCCCGCTTCTCTCGTCTCGCTCAAGTTACACACATGCCCCATAAGCACTTCGCCTCTCTCTCCCGCCTGAGTCAACTCTCATACTCCTCATCTCATCTCTTCTCATCTCATCTCATAAGCTCCTCATCTCATCTCTTCTCCATTCTCTCAACCCACACGAGGTGCCTCAGTCATTCTTGCGTTGCCTTCATCCTTTGAGCATGTCTATTCCACATGGGATTCTTTATATCGCTTTTCCTTCCGCCTCATTTTTCCACTGCGTCCCTGGTACAGTGGTGAGGATGCTTATCAGAAGATCCGAGCAGGGGCGTCATTAGTGCAGCTGTATACCTCTATGGTCTTTGAGGGGGCTGGAGTGGTGCCGAAAATCAAGGTAAGTCAAACCAAGTCAAGGCGAGTCAAGCTGATTTACTGAGTCAACCCAGGCTGTGCTGGGCTCAACAGGTAGGTTTGTGATTGTGAAGCTCTCAGATTTTGGCTCGCAAGCTTCCGAGAACGGGTGAAGTGAAGTGAGCACTGCTCGTTTCACCCATCACTTCTTACTGCTGTTTGTTATGTTTTTTTCTTTTCACATCTTTGCTTCCCCATTCTCTCCCTCCATTTGTCCTCTTCCACCATCCCACCCCCCCCCCCCCCCCCCCCCCCCTCCCCCCTCCGTCCCTTCCACTTTTCCCCATTTCATCCCTGCTTGGATCCTCCCCATTGGCAGAAGGAATTGGCCGAGTGTCTTGCTCGGGATGGATTTGCATCAGTGGCAGACGCCGTGGGGGCGGATCACAGGGAGGCAAGCAAAGGATTGTAGAATAAGAATCAAACATTGTACTGTAGTATCACCAGGGGTTCAGTAGAATGTACCCTTTCAAGTGCGTGCAGTAAACGCGATATCTAGAAGAGATTCCTGTGGTTAGCTTTAACTATTGAAAGAAGTGTTGTCATCTATTGAGCATTATGTAGTTCACTAATGCCTCTTCTGCAATGACGACTATTGCTAAGTAATCTGCTTCCTGAATTATGATAGCATTGGTACATATGCTGAAGTCATCACGTAACGAGTACAATTCAAAGTGTGGGAAGCGGCGCGACCTCATTCATCTTCTTCCACACGGTGCGGGAGAACAGGCGGCTGAGCCACGCCTTCAGATTTGGGCGGGAATCAATCAAATCTCCAACTCCCGCCGCTTGGAGAAGCTCGATGACTGGCAGATGTGTCAGATCTGCAAGTGTGAACGAGTCGCCCACCAGATACGCACGCCCCTCGAGATGCTTTTCGTAAATATCGAGAATCTTCTCCAGCTGTACATTCCAGGAGACAGAATGGACTTATCGAAGTCAGGAATAGATGCAGGAAGGGAGAAGAAGCAAGGATTATTCAGCCAAGGTCAGCCAGTTTCGCCAGGATTTGCACAGACCCTGACCTAATCGAGAATTCTCGCCTATTTTTTTGGAGAGACGATGGTGCCTTGAACGAGAAGCTAGTAGTAGATTCTTCAATAATGAGCGTAGCCAGGTCACCTTATTCGTCGCCGCAGCAACCTTCTCCTCGTCAGGCTCGCCAATCTTCAGAAACCTCTTAAAGACTCTCTCAAACGCAATCGCCATCGCCTCGGGCGAGAAAGCGTTGACCTCCGTCTCGATCCACTGGTTCACGCGGCCTCGCTCCAACGCGTCCTTCCCCAGCAGGTTGACTCCGCGTTCCGCGCCGTACTTGTCGGCGAGATAGCGCATGATGGCTCGAGACTCTGGGGCAGTAAGGGATTACGGCCAAGTCAAGCTAGCTCAGATCCCCGCGAGCGAGAAATTAACATTTCACACAGACTGTCGTCTGAGTACCACGAGAAAACGCCAGACGTGAACTGAGCGAGGACAAATGTAAGGCTCTTGGGATAAGAGGTGCAGCAAAAGGGTTACCCCTTACCACGACCGACACAAACGGACAGACTCGACCTCTCAATCTCCAAACACCAGCGGTTCAACGGTGAGGATCCGTCCTTAAACTCCTGGTGAGTAATCAACGGTATGCAATGGTGGCCATCGGTGCCTCTTCGCTTATTTTTTCTTGACTGGACACCTCTGCCGCTTTCAACTCACTCAATATCTAGTTCCCTTCGTTGAACCAGCCGAAAGTCTGCATGCACCTACCCCAGATGCGCTCGCCGTGAGCTTTGTGCTTAGACGCCACATTCAAGGGCTTGACCACGTCCCCAGGTGCACCTTCCCCAAAAGCACCTACCCCAGATGCGCTCGCCGTCGTCTTCGAGCAGAGGCAGCTTCCCAAAGGGCTGCTTGGCGAGGAACGCGGGCGTGCGCCCTTCGCCCTTGGGACCGTCGACAAACTCCCACTCGTAGTCCTGCGCGGGGGGAAGGGGAGAAAGGGTTGGGGTGGGTAGGGGAGGGGTGGGGGAGAGGGGGAAACCTGTGAAGGGATCCCGATGTCATGATGTTACTAAGCCGCTTCGCCGGTAGTTCTGCTCGGGGAGGGGGTAAGGGCGGAAGGAGGGGGGAGGAGGTGGGATGGTGGCGGGGGTGGGTGGGTGGGAGGAGCCTGAACGAACGAGGGAAACTGAACGTGATTTAAAGGAGCCTCGCCCATGTTGTCTTGCTGCCAGAAGGGAACGGAATTAGATGGTCTGCCGGCTGCCAATCGAGGTCCTGCTCAGAAGGCGTGTCTGGGAAAGGAGGGGGGGAGTGGGGGGTGGGGGAAAGTGGAGAGGGGGGAAGTTGGTGTTGTGTGATGGGAGGAATATTGGGGGGATGCAAACCCATGCTTTCAAATTCCTCAGCCCTTGTATCGTCTGTTGGCCCAGCCCGCTACCCAGTGCCCCACCAAATCCGTCAACCAAATCCTGGGTCCCAAATGTAACTATGAGGCTCGTGCGGAGATGCCGTGTCGCGTCGCGTCACGTCACGTGGTGTCAACGGTCGAAGGGAATGTCAGATGGGACATGCCCAAACCCTCCCTCCCCAGATCATTAAAATGAAGAGACTCGCTTTGCCAAAGAATGAAACAGGGGAGACTTGAAGTGTGTTCGAGGTTGCAAGCTTGTGACTGCTTCGACCCGATATAAAGAAAATCAGTGTCTCACCTCAATGCCGAGTTCGTGCAACGTCAGCAAGACGCGGCGGACGAAGGGCGAGTAGCCCATGCCATAGAGCTTCAAGTTAGCCATGTGAATGCCGCAGCTCGGTTCAAACGAGGAGATTAGAACACTTATAGAAAATGACTCGCGTAACTTGTGAGTGCACGGAGAAGAGCGTTAGTTGGTGATGAATAGTGCGAGTTCTTCTCGTGATTCAAGCAGCTTCTTGTACCTCAACACGTTTGGGTGGGAGGGACGTCCCACCCACGGCGCTTCTGTGTTGCCGCAGATCCCGTCTTCCCCTCGAAGGAAGGTATGAGGAAGTAAGCAAGGAGAGGGGCATGTCGTCACTCGTTAGTCAGGCATGAGGCGCTTCTCTCGTGTGCGATGACCCTCGCTAAGGCAAATCTTGCAATACACCTTTGACTACTCAATGGTCGGTTCTAAAAAAGGAGATGTAATACGGTAGCAACATACACATTCTCGAGTTTATGATTTTCACGCCGCTGTAGTACTGGTATTAGCTTCCTCAAAAGAACAACCTAGCCCTCTCGAAAGGGCAAAAAATATGCAGTCAGCTGAGCACACAACATTATGTGCAGGCAAATCACCCGGTAATCCCTAAGGCCCACAACAAAAAAATGTCACACCACACTGACTGCATGAACAGTGTTGTCCATGTTCACAGTGTTGACTCTGCTCGATGGATGAACACGTGTTGACTCAGCACATGAACACGGCATTGACTCGGTTGACCTGGTTGACTCCTGGTGGGAGGAAGCAGCCCATGAGGTGCATCGGGGAACCACTGCTGCAGCAGCGCTCGCCTTTGCTTCCGCCCCACCACAATTGGTGCTGTTTCAACCGCAGCTGATGCCCCTGCCTCTTTCAGCCACTCCCCAAGCGCCACGTCGGCTGCCATGGTTTTATTATTAACAGCTCCTCCTTCAGCTGAAAACCCGCAGTGAAACGCGAAGAGAGATTCTCCGCAGCATTGAAACGGGGGGAGTGATGCTCCGCCGTTTATGCTGAATCGCGCACCGCAAGACGGACAGAGTATAGCCTCAGCTGGAGGAATCTGGAATGGGCGCGGCAACGCAGAGGCGGAGGGTCTCAAAGTAGGAATGCAACGGAATGATGAACTAGAAACAGGATGGGGTTCAAACATGCAAACCTAAAAGTTGTACCCCCTAAAAGGTACCTCACTACAGCCTATATCACAGATTATATATTTGACACACCCCCATAGGCTAAGTGGGGGCATCAAAGCAAGCAGGGGGAACAAACGGTCACAAGACCAGTCAATGCAAGAAGCAAAGCAAGCTCAAGGTGGATCTCAAGGACACCACACAAATTCCGAGCACAAGCGAGCGACCACAAGGCCAGTTCAAGAGTTCACTAGGATATACATAGCAAAGCACAACAAGCAGAGGAAAGAGCAAGTCTACAGCAACCGAGGGCCTACCTCAACAAGCCCCAACTGCACACAGAACCTGTGATGGTCACCAGGCGCCAAGGCCTTGGTGAAGACGTCGGCAGTGTTGGCATCTGAGGCCACAAAGTCCAAGCGTGCCTGGCCACGTCGCTACAACTCTCGCAGGAGGAAGTACCTCACGTCAATATGCTTAACTCTGCTCTCCAGTCGAGGCTCTCGACACAGGAGGATCATGGCCTTGTTGTCAGTGTACAAGGTCGGTGCAGGGCGAGGCCGCTCACCAAGGTCGGCGAGAAAGAAGGTCAACCAGCGAAGCTCTTGTGCCGCCATGGCACCAGCGTAGATCTCTGCCTCTGCACTGGACGTAGCCACAGACGACGACCGTGTAGACCTCCACGACACAGCTCCAGCACTCAGACTGAAGCAGTAACCCTGAGTCGAGCACTGAGTCTCCACATCGTCAGCGTAGGAAGAGTCGCAATGACCGGTCAACACAACTGGCTGTGTTCCTCCAAGCACAAGCCCCATGCCTAATGTAGTCGCCAGTCACTTCGCCACCCTCACAGCAGCTGTCCAGTGAACTGGACGGTGTCTCCCAGTCGCAACAAAGCGAGAGAGGACGCTGAGGGGAAATGCAAGGTCCGGCCGAGTACAAGTCATCAGGTACATGAGGCAGCCCACAAGCTCTGCGTATGGGCCACTAGACTCAAAGGGCTCGTCGGGAAAAGGGCCAGTGAGTCGGTGGTCAGCGGCAAGAGGAGTGGGCTGTGTGGTGGAGAACTGAAACCCGAACTGCCGAATGACCTGCTGCACCATGTGTGACTGAGTCAGTGTGATGGTGCGAGCGCCTCTGTCCCTGGTGATCTGCAGGCCAAGGTAGCGCTGCAGTTCACCGAGGTCAGTGCACTTGTGTATCTTCTGCAGTTCGGATTTCACCTCAGTCAGAGCTGCCCTGTCTGCTGTAGCAAAGACCAAGTCGTCGACGTACACTAGTATAAAGAAAGGAGTGGAACCAGTGCGAAGAAACAGCGACGGGTCGGCAGAGGAAGGACGAAACCCAAGGTCATGAAGCGTGGAGCGAAGAGTGTCGTGCCACTCACGGGGCGACTGGCGGAGACCGTAGACTGGCCGCCTCAGGCTCCACTGTGTCCCAGGTGGGAAGGTGTCAGTGAAGCCAGGAGGACGGCGCAGCCAGATCTCCTCGTGTAGTCGGCCCTGGAGAAACGCAGTGGAGAAGTCAAGGGAGTTCAGCTCATAGTCTCGCTGTGCTGCTACGTGCAGTAACACCCGAAGAGTAGTCATCTTCGGGGTCGGGGCGAAGGTCTGGAAGAAGTCAACTCCCTCACGCTGACTGAAACCCCTAGCCACGTAGCGCGCCTTGAACACAGGCGGTGAACCAGGCGGCCAATTCACCTTGAAGAGCCACATGCCATCGACAACGTTCGCCCTGGAAGGGGGAACTGCGTTGACGTACGTGCCTGTGGATCTCCAAGACGCTAACTCTGCATCCATAGCCGCTTTCCACTGAGAGGCCCACTTCCCTGACACTGCCTCACGGTACGTGCGAGGTGTCGGTATGTCAAGGGCGTCGGGGTCTCCCTCAAGGGAAAGCAGCATGGCGCAGAGAGAGGGGGAAGCGGCTGCTAAGAACTCCGGTTCAAACTGCCTGTCCTCTAGGACGTCACAGCCAAGGGCAGACTCACCCCCGACGGACAGAGGACGGGGAGGTGGAGCAGCCACCACACGCGTGGCGTAGTCAAGATGGCGGGTGAAAGCAAAGTCAGCGAAAGCGGCAGTAAGAGCCGAGACAGACGACTGAGGGGCACGAGGGGCAGTGACAAGAGAGGCGAGAACATGAGAGACAACAGGGCGAGCAGCACGGTAGTAGTCAGTGGTAGGGTGAGAGGAAACGGTGAGAGACGACTCAGGAGGTGAGGGGAGAACAGACACAGGCGGAGAACGACGAGGAGGAGAACGAAACAAGACAGTGCGGAGGTCGGCAAGAGGAGACGAGGGTCGAGCACGCGGAGGACAACGACTGGTCCAGTCGTGCGGGACAACAAGAGGAGACGACCGTGACTGAGGAGGAGAGAAAACAGCCGGATTCGAGTCCGGAGGAGGAAACGTAGGACCGTACGCAGTAGGTGACTGGGAGTGGACAGGAGGAGAGGAAGGAAGACCAAGGGCCCGAAGGCCACTCACTGGAGGGAACAGCTGCTGCAAAGGT